CCCCAATTTCTTCCCCTTTGGTCACATTTTCCAAAACAGTTATGCATACTCTTAGTCTCTTTATCTTTTTTCTTCAAGCCATTTCAATCTTGGACATGGGCTCTCTTGCTGGACAATCACAACTATCATCTTTATGCAGATGATTACCAAATATATATCTTTAGTCAACATCTTTCTTCTCAATTCCAGATCCATACATATTCGACTATCAATTTTAAACATCTTCTTTGATGTTTCAAAAGCATTGTAAAGGCAACACCAGAGAATTCATGAAGCAATCCTTTATTAAATATGCATCCACATAAACCTTGCTTCTCTTCTGTCTCAGTGGAGAATACCACTATGCCATGAACTGAAGCTGCCAGAAACTCTAAGAGTAATCCTCAATACCCTCTTCTCCATCTAATACAGTAGTTCTCAACCAGAGGGAATTTTGCTCCCTAGAGGACAATTAGGCACAGCTGTAAACATTTTTGGTTGTCAAAAATGGGGACTGGTGGCCTGCAAAGTAGAAGCCAGGAATGTTGCTAGACATCCTAGGATTCAAAGGATAGCCCCTCCACACCAAAGAAAGCATGGAAGAGAAATAGATTTTAACCTTGATAATAAAGAAAATTATCCCTCAGCAAGACTATAGCACAGGCAGAAGTCCTTACAGACCTAAAACAATTAAAAGTAAGCATTTGTATCCAAGATTACTGCTCAAGAAAGCATACGCCTTGCCTTACACAGCTCAGCGTACTTCCCTTCATCTCTGCCTTAACAGCAATCTCACTGACTCATAGCTCAATTTTCTAACTATCTCATCTCAATAATGCCCACCACAAGCCAGCATCTCAACTCTAGTTTGTACATTTCTAATATCCCTTACAGCAGCATCCAGCCACGGTAAGCTGCCTGCCGCCTATGTCCAAGTTATTTCCCCAGATATCAATTATTATTCTTGACAGTCTTCTGGTTATAAAACTGTCTTCAGTCTGCTCCAGCACTATTCCCCATAATCCTTATATGCTTAGTGTGCAATCTGTAGAACATAAGGTTTCTCAAGAGCAGAAATATTACAGCAGATTTTTCTACTCTTCCAGCTATCTCTTTTATGTCCTCAATCAATGTATGCATCCAAAAATCTTGGTTTCTTATCTGTTGGTAGCCTAGAAGCAAATCACTAGTCCTCCCTCTCTCTCTCTCTCTCTCTCTCTCTCTCTCTCTCTCTCTCCATCCCCCATAGTTCATTAGTCCCATATGCCATCAAATTTCCTTATTTACTATCTCTCATGTCACTTTCACTACCATCTGCCATAACTGAAAGCTTTAGTACTTCTCTGGATGCATTCACACAGCCTTCAAGATGATCATCTATCTTCCAGACCCATCTCATTCTAAGCCATACTCCACTCTAATGCAAGAACTATGCAAATTTCTTGTTATTTCCTCTATTCAAAAAAACTCTAATGGCATTCTACTGTACATCAAGATCCCAAACAACTGCCCTACTTTTGGCTCATAATGAACCCTCTATTCACTTTTGCCATTCTACAGAGGTAATCAGAGGCAAACCATACAAATTTGGACACACTGACGGCAAAATAAAGACAGACACTCTAAAAGTATTAGCTATAACAACAACTGACCTGGTATTACCTCCAGTTGTAAGATGTCCTAGAACTGACTAGTTCTAGTACTAAGATCCCCCTGGCCTTGATTTTAAGCATTTTAAGTTCCTCCTCTTTGTATCTTTAGAGATAAAGGTCAAATTTTGTTTTTCCCACTTACTAGCTGTGACCTTGAGTAAGTTATTACTTTAGCTTTATGAGCCTCAATAAAATTAGGATATGTCATGGGAGTCTATGTCATGGGGTTGTCAAAAACACTAAATATCACAGCATGAATAAAATGCCCAGAAGAAACATCATACACATTCATTTTCTTCAGAAGTGTTCACATGGGCCAGGGATTTAGCTCAGTGGTTTCACTGCCTGCTGCGCAAGCACAAGGACCCGAGTTTGATACCAAAAAAAAAAAAAAAAAAAAACCAGAAGTGTTCACTTAAACCAGCAGAGTGGAGCAAGCCTACAATCCCTGCTGCTCAGCAGCTGCAGCAGGAACACAAATTTAAGCCCAGCCTTGTAACTTAGGAAGATCCTGTCTCAAAATTTAAAAGGCTGACTCAACAGTACAGAACTCCAAGTTCAATCTCTAGCATCGCAAGAAACAAAAAAAGAAAAGTGGACATAAAGAATGAACACAGCAGGCTGGGGATTTAGCTCAGTGCTTTCACTGCCTGCTGCACAACTGCAAGGACCCGAGTTCGATCCCCGGTACCAAAAAGAAAAAGAAAAAAAGAATGAACATAGAACTAATTGTTTCCCTTCTTACAAACCAGCAGGAAAAAAGTAGCACTCAAAGAAATGGGTTCAACTGTAAAATCTATTTTTATCCCTCTGAAATAAATGCCTAATTCCAAAAATATTAGATTTAGGAGGATTTTTTATGTGCTAAGAAAAGAAAACTTTATTGATATAGAATTACACTTTACAAGATGACTGGGAAATGTGAATTATAATATACACAAAAATATACAGAGATACTGAACTCTCTATGGATAACAAGTTCTACAAAAAAATCTACTGGCATACATATTAAAAACCCATACAGAGTATATTTTATACATTCAAAGAATTTATGTGATTTGTCTTCTACTACAGACTCTCACATTATAACACTAGAAAGAGCTTCTTTTGAACATGAAAGTAAAGACAGCAGAAAGAACAGGCAAAGAGGGAAGAGGAAATAGTACCACAACATCTCAAGTTTGTCTTTTCTCATTTTAATTTTCCTCTCTCCCACTGGTTTTGCTTGATTATTCCTACTTCGTGGTAAAGAAAGAACTGCAAGAAAGGAAAGAGTAGCCTTTTCAATAAATTGTGCTGGGACAACTACACCAACAGCAAAAAAATTAGCTAGACCCATCAACTTCATATTGCATACAAAAATTAACTCAAAATGTGTCACTGTCCTAAGTGTAAGCCCTGAAATATAAAAATCTCAGAACAACACATGGGCATTAATCTTCATGACCTCAGATTGAGTAATGGTTTCTTAAGATTTGATACTAACAGCATAAGCAACCAAAGAAAAATAAACTGAACTGCATCAAACACAGGACTTGAGAAGTAGTTCAGAAGTGGAGTGCTTGCCTAGCACACTCAAAGTCCTGGATTCTATCCCTAGCACTGCTACACACACACACACACACACACACACACACACACACGATCCCAAGTGTCTCAAGTGTTGGCCAGGAAGAACACTCATACACCACCAATGAAAATATGCTGTAAAATAGTACAGGTACTTTAGAAAAAAACTTTGACAGTTCTTCAAAAAGTTAACATAGGGAAGAAAAAGTTAACATAGGGCTAAGGATGTAGTTCAGTGGTACAGCATAGGCCTAATGTACCCAAAGGCTTTGGGTTCAATTTCCAGCACTATGCAAAAAAAAAAAAAAAAAAAAAATTAAGAGTCATCATATGACCCACCAAGTACATTCCTCTTAGGAATATACCCAAGAGAAATGAAAACATATGTCCATGCAAAAGTTCATACTCAGTCACAACAGCATTTATTCATATTTCTCAAAGAGTAAAAATGTAAACGTCTATCAACTGAGGAATGTGTTAACAAAAGATGGTATATCCACACACCCAAATATTATTCAATTATAAAAAGGAATACAGTACTGATAGATGCTATGACATGGAGAACCTGATAACACTATGCTAACTGAAAGAAGCAAGGCACAAATGGCCATATGTTGTACGATTCATTCTACTTATATGAAATGTCCACAATAGGCAACTCCACAAACAAAGAAAATAGATTGTTAGAATTGGGGGAGGGAGAAGTAGGGAACTGAATGCTACTAGGTAAAAGGTTTCTTTTAGAGGTGATGAAAATGCTTTGGAATCAGTTGATGGTAATAGCACAACTTTGTGAACATACTAAAATGTACTAAATTGTATGCTTGAAAAGGATGACGTTATGGTACAATTATTCACCTAAAGAACAGAAGAATGAGAGGTATAAAACAGTGGCACAACTAAGGAATGAAGCACGTGTTGCTTTTTTGACCACGATTTTCTTTTTGGTGCCTTTACTATGTTCCAGATCTATGCTAATTGCTAGGAATCCAAAGATGAATAAAACAAACAGGCTCCTTCTCCTTAGCATACAAATACTTGTAACCTATTTCTTGCCAGTAGGGAAGCTTTGAAAAGCGTAAGTGTAAGCCACAAAGGATCCCCAAGAGAATTCAGATGTTTATATTATAAACCTTTCCCTAGCCTCAAGGCTTTTTTTAACCTTTCACTAAATATGGCAGAGGGCAGAGAGATGCTTTTACTAGTGGCTGAAATAACACATTGTTCCCAATGCTAACAATACCATTTTCCAAAAATTATTATTACTTAATAATTGATTTTTTTTTCTTGTGGTACTGAGGATCGAACCCAGAGCCCTCCCCATGTTAGTCAAGTACTATCATTGAGCTATACCCCCAATCACAAAATGTTTTACAAATAATGTTCTTGGTAAATATTTCTTACTTATAACACTTCTTGATCATACCATTTTGAATGTATTACTTTCTCAGAGACTCCTGAATTCTCTATTTTTGAGATTTAAAAACCTTATAATAAACATGAACGTCCTTAAACAAAATGCTTTAAAAGAATATTATTGTAAGCATAGGAAAACTTATTTTCTGACAAGTAAAAAGAGAGTTTTCTAAACTCTAAGAAATCAAATGTTTTAGGTTTTAATCCCAAATTTTTACAATTCGGGGGAATTCCCTGTCAGCTATACTGCATAAAATAACTAACAAAATTCAAAATGATACTTAGGCAGAAAACTGGGTTGAACAGTACTTTAAACAGTTTCTTTTAACACATTATCCATATTAAATTTCCAAAAAGCAAAAGTAAAATCTGTATTATCATTACCTTATCTTTGGCCTCGGGCAGTGTGATTTCTCTAGGTTCTAAAAATGATATTTCTCGAAAAGGTGGAACACATCTGACTATCTCTGGTACATAGGGTGTATGAAACAATGGCGGCATTGAGTATCTTCCTTCACCTGATAAAGGCACTATCTGGTTAACTATAGTTGGGTCTTGGTGGGGTGAATGGAATCGCTGCCGTTTACCATCAAGAGGCAGGTTTTTTTCATCGCTTAATCTCCTGAAAACAAGCAACAGACCTTAGTGATTAAAGATACAACTTTCTGGAAGTAAAAAATAATTAAAAATACATAAACATCCTAACTGATAGTGACGACAATGTTATGACTTTCAATAAGGCCACATTATTAGCTCATACTGAAATTTAAAATATTCATTTCAACGCAAGAAAGGTCTTTCAAAGCCTTAAAAACTGAGTAACAATAATGCATACAGAAATAAAACTACACGTATATATCAGGGCTAGCCTCCTGCATTTGAACTAACCCAATGTTTCATCTCAGCAGTGAAAACTTTACGGAAAAAGTTCTACATACAGCATCACTAAGAGCTAAAGATCTAAACTCTAACATAAGAAAGGTGAGACTGACAGGCTGGGGATTTAGCTCAGTGGCACTGAGTCTGCCTCGCAAGCACAAGGTCCTGAGTTCGATCGCCAGCACCAAAAAAAAGGTAAGACTGAATTGAAATTGACTGTGGTGGTGTATGCCTGTAATTCCAGCTACTCAACATAGGAAGATGGTAGGTGTGAGGACAGCCTGCATAACTTGGCAAGACTCTGTATGAAAATGAGGGGGAAAAGTCTGTAGCACAATGCAAATTCTTAGGTACAATCCCCTAAACCACACACACCCCAAAAAGATGTAGTTGCACCATATATAACCATGGTTTTTTGACTATACCTATGTCTGCCTATTCAACAGGAAAGATCAAATTAAGAAACAGTAAACACTATAAAGACATTAGACAATTGAAGAAATTTGAAAACAAACTATGTCAGATACAGTAATAGTATTGTACTAATATAAATTTCTCTGGCATGATCAATGCATTTTAGTTATGTGAAAGAGTATTTTTGTTTTTAGGAAGAAAAAGCTAACATGTTTTGGGGTAAATTAAAATGATCACTTTTAAATGATTCAGAAAAAAAATGAAATTAGAAAGAACAACAGGCAGAAAGAGGCAAATGTAAAGCCAGGCATGGTGGTGTAGGCCTGTAATTTCGGCACTGGGGAGGCTGAGAGAGGAGGATCAAGAGTTTGAAGCTGAACTGGGCTACAAAGTGAGTCTGTTTCTAAAAAAAAGAAAAAGAAAAAGAAAAAAAAGTAGCAAAACATTGACAAAACTAAAAGGCACACGGATGCTCATTCACTTTCTGCAAGTTTGAAATTTTTAAATTAAAAAGTCAAGAAACTAATTAGGATGTAGCTCAGTGGTAGAGTGCTTGCCAAGAATGCATGCAGCCCTATGTTCAATGCACAGCACTATAAAAAAGAAAAAATAATAATAAAGAACAGAGTAAACTTCACTAGAAAGAAAAGTGTTACAAGCCAAATAGTATCTCCTCAAAATTCAAAGGTCAAAATCCCAAGGTTCAGTATCTCAGAATATGACTATCTTTGGAAATAAGACTCATAAAGAAGTAATTAAGTTAAAATGGATCCTTAGGATGGGCCCAAACCCAGGATTGGTATCCTCAAAAGAGGAGATCAAGGGCATGATGTGACACACCTCTCCAGTGCCAGCATTCCGGGAGGCTGAAATAGGACAGAAAAGTCCACCCTGGGGAACTTGGTCAAGACCCTGTCTCAAAATTAAATAGGGATGGGGATGTAGTCAACGAGAAGACTCTGGGTTGAATTTGCAGTACAACAGGAAAAAAAAAAAGATTAGGATACAGAGGTTTGAGCACATAAGAAAACAGTAAGATCGTCAGAGGGGAAGGGAAGGGGATTTGAAAAGAATTAGGATCTGTTACATACATTACCAATTCCCCACAATGAACATAATCATTATCAAATGTAAACATTACTGATAAAAATAAACTTTTTTAAAAAATGGTCACCTATAAGCCAAGGAGAGGCCAAAAAAGAAACTTTAGGACTGGGGACTTAGCTCAGTGGCACCATGCCTATGTTGCAAGTGCAAGGTCCCCGGTACCAGGAAAAAAAAAAAAAAGAAAGGAAGAAGCTGACACCATGATCTGGACTTCTAGCCTCCAGAATTGTGACCAAAAAAAATCTGTTTCAGACATCTAGTGCCAGTCTGTAGCACTTTGTTATGGCAACCATACCAAATAAAAACAAAATGTGATCTAATTTGCTAAAAATCTCAATTAAAAAGTAGTTATCTGGGCCGGGATTTAGCTCAGTGGTTCCACCGCCTCCCTGGCAAGTGCAAGGTTCTAAGTTTGATCCCTGGTACCAAAAGCAAAGTAGTTATCTGGGCAGGGGATTTAGCTCAGTGGTTCCAGCACATGCCTCAAAAGCGCAAGGTCACAAGTTCAATCCCCAGTACCAAAAAAAAATTTTAAAAGTAGTTATCTGAAGAAATGTAGCTTCATTCCATCTATAATTTATAATGGTAGGAACAACTCAATGAAGGAATCCTTAAAACTTTTTAAACACAAAAATTAAAAAATTCTGTTACTGATCTGAATATTCAAGTCCTAAAGAATAAAATCTAAGGTATAGTATCCACAAAATTTTACACAAGATAAACTATTACACACAGTTCTCAGAACTCTAAAATCTTCTTTTAAAATAATTCAAAAGTACTTACTTCCTTCCTCGAAATATTGGGGATGCTGAGGTCTGTATTGGACTGACATTTCCATATGTCAGTTGCTGTAATGACAAAGCTCTAGACAAGCTATCAAAAACAAAAAAAGAACAGTAGTAACATACATATTTTTCTCTAAGAACAAAGTTCAGAAAAACTAAGTGTTTCACTGATTAAGAGAAATCAAGAAGCAATAACATTTTCTCTACCATCAAATGTTTCATAAAAAAAGGGTTTTATGTCAAAAAGAAAATGAAAAAGGGCCCAAACAGCACTATACTTACTCTGCATTCTGGAAGTTGAACTGTGCATCAATAAGCTGCTGGTGTGAATAAAGAGTTGGCGACAGGGTGAAGAAGTTATTATGTTGTTGATGGTTTGGAGTAAAGGGCGGGCGACCCAAAATTGAGTTCGGGAACATGCTCTTGCTCACTGGAAGTGCACATGTATTCTTCTACCTACAATAATTTAAAAAGACAAAACTGTACTACTGTATCTTAAAAGATACTGAACTCTTTGAAAATTATCTGCTATATTAAAAAAGTAGTTATAACATTACTAATTCATTTACAGAGTTATTTTTAAAAGCTGAAATAGGTGGTACATGTATATAATCACAGCATTCTGGAAGGCTGAAGCAGGATTTCAACTTCTAGCCCAGCCTAGACAATTTAGTGTATCTTGTCTCAAAAATATTTTAAAAGGCTGGGCTGCAGCTCACCACTAAGCATTCAATCCCCAGTACTGCAAAAGAAAAAAACATACTTGCCGTTCTAATGTAGGTAACAAAAAACAATGAATTCTAAATCTACATTAACCATATTATTTAATATCAAAATATACACATTTCTAAACTGACGAATCTGCCATGTTTGCCAAATATATCACTGAATATTTTTAAAAATCAAATTATAAAACATTACCAAGTTTAAAAATCAAATTATCAAATATTACTATATACTCTAATAAAAAACACTACAGAGACATTTAATGAAATCCTACAGTCTTAACATTTATGCTCAATTTCATACGTAAGAGTTTCAGCCATGATATCACAACCATATTACTAGGATTTGGATCTTACCTATCTGATGAAACAAGGGAGAGAATTTGTATCACCTAAAAACTTATAAAATCACAAGATTCTTTTCAAAGTCCACATAGTTTACACAGAGGACTAGAACGTGATGACATATGCCTGTAACCCAGTATTCTGGAAGGCTAAGACAAGAAGATCACAAATTCAAGCCCAGCCTGGCCAATTTAGCAATTTATCAAGACTGTCTCAAAATAAGAAATAAGAAAAGAGCCGGGTATATAGCTCCATACAAAGGCCTTGGGTTAAATCCCCAGTACTACAAAAGGAAAAAAAAAAGAAAAAAAACCAACTTTCAATAAAAGAGATATGTGATGGGCAGGGTGACACATACCTATAATCCAGGCACTCCAGAGGTTAAGGCAGGAAAATTGCCAAGTTCAAGACCAGCCTGAGCAACTGAGTAGGACCCTGTCTCAAAAATTAAAAAGGGCTAGGGATATAGCTCAGTGGTAGAACATTTGGTTAGCATGCACCTAGGTAAGCTCTGGGTTCAATCTCAAAAGGGATGAGGGGATAATAAAAAAATAATAAACAGGAATAATAAAAAATAACAGGAATAATTAAAAAAACTAAGTAAAAATTGGTTCCGGTCCCATTCTCAAAGCAAAGAATTAGAAAACTCTCTATGAACAAAATTAGAAACTACATATAAAGTAACAACAGCAGGTCCACCAAGGAAAAAATCAAGCCAGCTACTTGATTAACCTGCAGTCAAGCCTACTATAGCTGACAGGCCCTACCCATACTCATAGTACCTGGCTCGATTTTAGAATATTAGACTTCTAGTAGTTCTCACCTAAAATAGATATCCCTGGACATCACCAGAAAGGGGGAAAAGATCTGTAAATAAACACAATGTCAAATGAATACCCAAAAAAAATGTCTAGTGAACAAAACTGAAAACAAAACTAACCAGCAGGAAAAAAAAAAAAGATAACACTGAGGAAAATTATTAGAAAGAGCAAAAAGAAAAAACTGGTAAGGCAGGACTCGAATGGATAAACAGAGAAAATAAGAACAGAGAAGCAAACAATATGGCCCAACATCCAACATTATACCAAAGGTCCAGAACAGAGTAAATACAAAAGAAACTACACCAAACAAAACAATTTCCAAGACTAAAAGACACCAATCCCTAGACTGAAAAGACCCAATAAATAGAAAGCACAGTAAAAAAAGATACTGTATCAAGGCACTGTATGATGAAATTTCAGAATGGGGGGTGTCATAAAATAATCTACAGGAGGAAAATATTAAAAAATTGGCAATCAGGCCAGGGATTTAGCTCAGTGGTTCCGACGCCTGCCTCACAGGCGTGAGGTCCTGAGTTCAATCTCCAGTACCAAAAAAAAAATTGGGAATCAAAACATCTTTGGATTTCCCAACAGCAACAGTAGAAAACACAAGAAATGGACTAATAATGCCTTCAAAGCTCTGAGGAAAATGCTCTCAAGTTATACTTCTATATTTCACTATATTATATTACCACAGAAAATGAAATCCTACATTGGATAAACAGAAAGTAAATTCCCAAGAAGATGGCAAAGAGAAGGTAACAGCTCAAAATTAGAGCACAAGGACGTTTGAAAAAGACATTCTAATTGGGCCTGGTGGTGCACACCTATAACTGTACCACTCTGGGAGACTGAGATAGAAGAATCAAAAGTTCAAGTCCAGATTGGGCAGCTCGGTGACTTAGTTGAGACCCAGTCTCAAAATAAGTAAATAAATAAAAGGGCTGGAGATACAGCTTACTGCAAAGGCCCTGGATTTAATCCCCAATACTTAAAAAAAAATATTCAGTAGGATCCTACAACTCTAGAGTCACCCAACCTCCCAAGTAGGAAGATTGGTGGACTCAGAGGACAGGACTCAACCGGTATGCATTGTGCTAAAAGGAGGGCCACTAAAGAGGGAAATGTTCCCATCCTTCCAAGGGAAGCCATGTGATCTAACAAAGACTGTGACCATCCAGGCAGATGACAACTAGTAGAGGGAAAACTGAAAGAACTAAGAGGCTCTGCCCGTGGCCCCAAAAGTAATGTCTAAGAAGCCTAAACTGACCTTGATATATACATAGAGAACAAGATTAATTCTGATTAACACAGGTCTCACTTTGACTTGGTCTTAAACACCAAAAGGGAAAGCATAACCAAAATTATAAAGAGTAATAATAAATCAAAAGCTTGGCTAAATAATTAAGGGACAATTCAGTCAACTAGCACCCCTTTGTTGGGAACAAAAATTAATACTTACGATAGATGGATCAATCCCACCCAAAATATGGGGTGGATTCCTACCCAATGCTATAGTCACACTATTGTGTTAAGAGATACTAACTTGTTTGCTACTAACTGGAAGGCAAAAGGTGAGATAAGACGGCCAGCAACAAATGGTACCCAATGGCTCTGTACATACCTATGGCCTTGGTTACCTCCAGGGTGTATAGGAAAATATACACTAGGTTATCCATGGGTCCAAGGGCACTTGGTTAAGACTAAAGATCAACCAGCTAACCTCCTAGTCTTGAGATATTATTGGAACAGATCAGTTCTCAACTGGTATGATTCTCTGGCTGTTATCTTTAGTCTCCAAATAGGACTTGAGAATAGAATATAGCACATTGAATCTTACTAACTATACATAAAGAGGGTATTTCATGATTAAATTCAGAAGTAAAATTGATGAGAAAAGCCATTCTATAAAATCAAATGGCTCTAAGGGCCGGGGGTTTAGCTCAGTGGTTCCAGCACCTGCCTCACAAGCACAAGGTCCCGAGTTCAATCCCCGGTACCAAAAAAAAAATCAAATGGCTCTACATAGGAAAAGACTTCATGAACAAAACCTCAGTAGCACAGGAACTTGCACAAAGAATCAACAACTGGGATCTCATCTTATTGAAAAGCTTCTGCACTGCAAGAGAAACCACCAACAGAGCTAAGAGACAACTTACAATGTGGGAAAAAAATTTTAACAGCTGTACCTCAGATAAAGGACTCTATCTAGAATATAGAAAGAACTGAAAAAAATCAGACCTCCCAAATTTAAAGACCCAATTCAAAAAAGGGCATCTGAAATGAACAGACATTTCTCAGACAAAGAAGTAAAAGCAGCAAATAAATATAAGAAAAAATGTTCAACAATCACTGGTCATTCAAGAAATGTAGATGAAAACAACACTGAGATTCCACCTCACCCCAAAAAGAATGGCTGCTATCAAGAAATCACCAATAACAAATGTTGGCAGGGGTGTGGAGAGAAAGGAACCCTTCTCCATTGTTGGTGGGAGTGCAGACTGGTATGGAGATACCTCAAAGAGCTAGGGCTAGAGGTCCTACTTGACCCAGCTATTCCCCTGCTGGGTATCTTCCCAAAAAAATTAAAAGAATCATACCACAGCGACATATGTGCACCTATGTTTATAGCGGCACAGTTCATAATAGCTAAAGCTTGGAAACAGCCCAAGTGCCCATCAACTGGAAACTGGATAAAGAAGATGTGGGGTTTTTTTTTATAAAATGGAGTACTACTCAGCCATAAAGAACGAGAAACTGGAGACATTGACAGCTAAATGGATGCACATTGAGGCCATACTCTTAAGTGAAATAAATAGGACACACATGTGTAAATACCAAATAGTTTCTCTGGTGTGAGAAACTGAAAATGTAAATAAGGATTAAAACGATTAAAATGAACAACTGATAATGTGAAATAGGAAGAAAAGGTCCAAAGGGGTAGGAGAAGTGAGACGGGAAGGGGAAAGAAAAAATTATGCGAAAAGGAAAAACTGGAAACAAAGTCTTTGCAGGTGGGGAAGGGAGCCCAGGGAATGGAGAAAAAATAAGAACCAAGATACATCATGTACAGGTACAAGCACCCAATGATAAATGTAAACATATTGTATACCTAAAATGTACCAATAAAAGAATTTAAGCAAAAAAAAAAAAAAAAATCAAGAGGCCCTAGATCAGTGATGGCGAACCTTTTAGAGACGAGCGCCAAAACCCCAAAACCCACTTATTTATTGCAAAGTGGCAACACTGCAATTAAACCTGAATACTGAGAGTTTAGTTTAGTTTGGAAAAAACAACTCATATATCTTTTATCCTAAAAGAAAAATAACACAGGTGCCATAGTAAAACAGAAGATTAGAGCATGGCAAAGCTGGCTGAGGACATAGGCATGACCTGTTAATTACAAGATCCTGGAACACAAAGGCAGAACAGTTCCCAAAGCCCAGCACATGGACTTCTCATGAGAACTCAAGCAGGTTTCCAATTGGATGGCCTAGATCTGGTGTCAGCCTGAGGCACGGGATCCCAGCACAGCCTCTCACGACCCAGTAGAAATTCATAGAAATCTGGGTTTCCTCCAGATATGGATGGCATAAAAGGACACAGAAGCCCTGAAGAGCTCCCTATCGCTTTGGCGGCTTTCCTTACAACGACCCACCCTGTATCCTCCAGGGTGTACTTTTATCTTGCTTTTTCTTCTTTTACTCAGTCCAAGCTCACTCTGTAGAGCCAGTTTCTCCCTCACTCTTCACTTTTACTTTTTCAAATAAACTTTGTCATCATTCTTTTTCTCGTTGCATTCAATTCTTTATACAAGAGGCAAAGAACTTGCAATCCAACACCAGAAGGAGATGCAAGTAAGCTTTATTTAGTCAGCTGCTTTTAGAAAGGGACTTCCTGGTAAAAACAAGTTTGCCACCACTGCCCTAGATATTCTAACAGTAGCACAAGGAGAAATCTGTGCCATTATCAAAACAGAATATTGTGTATTTATTCCTGACAACTCTGCAAATGTGTTCTCTGCATTACATGATCTATGTTAACAAACAAGTGCAGTATCAGACTCTGCTACAAGCTTTAATGACTGGCTGGCATCCTAGTTCTCTGCAACAACCTGGTGGGGAAAAGTCCTAATTTTTCTGGCTATGATACTGTGCACTGGAATTCTTCTCTGTTACATGATTCATTGTTATTGTGGGCTAATATCTCATATGTCCTTGCCCTCTTTTTCAGACTATCAAAAGATGATGATTCTTCAAAAAACAGAACCCAATATTTCTATGTCTCCTTTAGATAAGTCAAGATGAGACGTTCACTCCCTGGCTAAGCAGGATCAATACCCACCCCTTTCCTCAGCCTGAAGTAGTTGCTGAAGATGGACAATCAGCCTGCTGTGCTCCCTGAATAAGGGACTGAAAAAATAAATAAAATTTTAAAAAATAAAATAAGGGGCTGAAGTCTGAAGGAAAAATGAAGTAGAATAGAAGAAATAAAACCAGGTAAAAAGAAGCCAAGAAAATTGAGATTTAATTGTACTTTTAAGAAAAACTGAACCTTTAGGACACAAGCCTGGGCAACTCATTCAGCTATAAAGGGGTTTGCCCATTCCCTTTTTATTTCCAAATGGTTCTTTCATCCATAAACAGACCACCCTTTTGGGATTTCTCATATGAATAGACCATTATCTCACTATGGGAGGGCCATTCTCTCTTACCCACTAGACAAGACTAAGATTATCTTCAAACACATAAAAGATCCCTAATTCCCAACTGTATTGTGCCTCATGTCTCAGAGGCACACTCCACTCCTGCATGTGTCCTATATCTCTGTCTGTAACAAACTTCATATCTCTTTAAAATGTGTGAGATATATATATATATATATATATATATATATATATATATATATATGTAAAAGCAGCTGATTAAAAATACACTATTAAGGGCCAGGGATTTAGCTCAGTGGTGCCACCGCCTGCCTCGCAAGTGCAAGGTCCCGGGTTCGATCCCCGATACCAAAAAAAAATAAAAAATACACTATTAAACTACAAAAAGAACTCTAATGGTAATATAAAAAAGAAAATATGACCACCGATATACTTGGTTCTTATAGCCATTAAACATTTAAACAAAAGTGGTAATATTTATTATATATCTTATTACACACAATTATCATATTTATATGTCACTTGTTATAGATTTATATGATTCTACTTGACAATTTTTGTGTAATAGATACGTGGAAGACAAGACAAGATACAAAAAGCACTAAACCTTCATTTCCAGTAAATGTAAATTGAAAGAATGAGCTATGGAAGCTTTTTTTTAAACAGAAGAAAAGAAAACTTAACCAGTTATAGGACTTGAAGTGGTTGTGCCTCTAGGAATAGAGACTGGATGGATTTGAAAAACTAGAAGAGTCAACAGAAAAGAAAAAGATCTGGGAAGAAACTAATGTATCAGTCATATAGACTCTTGTTCATTTTTTTTTTTTTCAAGCAGAAGACGGCATACGAGATCCTGGTAGGTGACTGGAGTTCAGACGTGTGCTCTTCCGATCTCCGGTAGTAAAAGGAAGACAGATAGGCTAAGAAACTTGTGATCATCATCAATCTTGTCCCAAATGCCTGGCTTTCTAATTTTTTTTTTAAATTTAGTGGTACCAGAGATTTAACCCAAGGCCTTCACATTGAGAATATTCTTATCCCTTTTGTATTTTGAGACAGGGTCTCACATAACTAAATTTCCCAGGCTGGGCTCGAACTCATCATCCTACCTCAGTTTCCCAGGTATTATTATAGCTGGGTTTACAAGCATACATGACCACACCCAGCTCTGACTGTCTTATGTGGGTCAGAAAAAAACTTATTATGTCAGCCAGCCCTTATTTCTTGTTATAGGAGATTAAAAAAAAAAAAAAGAAGAAAGAAAAGAAAACCTGCATCTGCTGACCTACACTCCCTGAAGTTCTCTGATAAGAGGAAGTGGACAAATTATCTTGAACTAAAAAGCATACTAGGGAATCCTTTATTAAAAGTACATTCAGTGGGCCGGGGATTTAGCTCAGTGGTTTCGCCCCTTGCTGCGCAAGCGCAAGGACCCGAGTTCGATCTCCGGTACCAAAAAAAAAAAAGTACATTCAGTAATCATGGATTGCAGTCAAGACTGACAACCAACTCTTTGTTCTATACTTTGCCTAGGAGTAAAGCTTGATATTTACTCTGCTTCCCTGACCTAACTTCCCATAAAATATAATTCCTATTCCATAGGATATAGGAAAAAATGACATTAAATATGATTCACTGTAATGAATATTGCTTGAAATCCATTTTGCGAGAATACACACACTTTAGATCTAATCAAAGGAGTGTATTTTTATTCAGAAGAACTAGCATTAAAATGTTTTATTTTCAGATTTAAACCAGTTCACAGCTTAAAACATAAGACTGTTTTATTAATACCTATAAATGCTATGTTTTTCTCTAGACCAGTGATGGCAAACATTTTAGGGCTTTCTATGATAACACACAGCATGTGTGCCATAGGTTTGCCACCAATGCTTCAGACTGAAATAAGACAGATAGATCTATAGATTGATTCAGACTTGAAGATAAAAAATGACATAGTAACCCAGACCTCACCTTATTTCTATCCTATTACAATGTCAAATACAAATGCGTAAGTCAGAAATATCTTGTGTATCTGACAAGAACTACTATACAAAGTCAATAACCAAATTATCCCAGGGTATAAGCTCAGCACAGCCAAAAGTTTACTCTGGGCAGATATCTAGCTCAGTCTATCCAAAATTTCCAGAAAACCACTGACTTTGAAATCCCTACAAAATAAAACATCTGTCAGGCTCTCCTCAACAAGAATCTTGGCTCTTAAGTCAGGCTCTTGACCAGGTCAACCTTTAAAGTGGAGAGAATCATTCCTAGGAAATTTAATCAACAGTATTTAATGCTCTCCAACATAGGTATGCTGCACGACCATCTACAGATAGTCAGGTATGACAAATTTTATGATAGATAAACTTCAGAGATTGGCAGCATCCTATTTTTCTTACTCTAAAAATTAACTATTATCTGTACTTCTAACTACAAAATAATGTAGATAAAGTCTGAAAGGTTTTTAAAACCACTGTGCTGGTTCTTGCCGTAAAGAGAAAACCCTGAAGATTACTTCTGAAAATACTGTTTCCTCAGTAAGTTTGACTCAATGGGAAATCACACAGGTTTATTTGTAAATGATCTGTGAGACAAGATAGTAAATTTATAAGGTATTTCCTAGTGATAATAGTGTTTTATCTTGAAATTTACACCCTGGTTATTTGTCCTCTACTTGACCTCTACAACAAATTACAGAATACTCGTTTACATAATTCCTTCATCAGGATTCCTTGGAAAGCAGACTCTACCTAATATAACATATGGAACTGTATTGGCTAAAGCTGGTCATCTGTCCACTTTGTCCAAATGCTTTGATCCCTGAAAACCACTTCTTCCTCCAGAACACAAAAAGTCCAATTCCTAAATCCTGCTCACCCACTGTCAAAATCGTTTTCAGGTTTTGATCAGGACATTCCTTTTTTATTAAGAATTAAATTCCACCCAAGTGTTAAAAACGAATCTAGTCACCAGGAGCCAAACAGACATTTCTTAAACGACTAACAAATGGCCTGTTTCACATGGAGTTTAGGTGTCACAGGGCATCTGTACAGAAGACATAATTTGGAGCTATTCACATCAACAAAGTCATGTTACTGGTACTGGGTACTAATCAATACTCCTAAATCAGAGCCTTATGACTGTTAATCTGTACATATTAAAAACCTTGTGGACCATACAGTACGTTAATACTTGTATGTTGCCTACCATAGAAACACACAGACCTAATGCTCAGTTTTGATCTTTTTCTTCACAAAAAAATCACACTGTGTATCTGTTACCAAGGTTTCAATTTGGCTTGAGTTTTACAATCTTTTTGTTTCTTTTCTCTCCACCCTACTGGTGTAAATTTAACTATTTTAAACGTAAAACTGAAAAAGACAAAACAAGACAGGGAACCTAAGTAACCCAGAAACTGTGAGACACATAAGCCCCTCGTGTCCTTACCAAGAAATGAACATCCTATCTACAAAGGCTGACCGGGTATAAAAGGATGGGTATGTAACTCTCAGTTCCAACCTGTGCAATTTCCCGTAAAGTGAAGAACTAGGACAATTTCCTGCCACTTAAAAATCTTAAAGATAAATGCCTTTTAAAATAATTTATCTGGACTGTTACCTTCGTTCTCCACCGCCCTATGAAACACCATGCAGGAGTTCCGAGACAATCTTCCCCCTTCGGTCCCGGACGAGGACAGGGCAGGGGGGTGAGGTGCCTGGGGTAGGACACGAGACAGAGAAAAAGCGAGAGAAGAGGCCCGGAGAGTCCTCAAAAGGCGAAGCAGCCGGGGCTACCTTTGAGATCCTGCTGGAACCTCCTAAGCAAAACAAAACACTAGTTTCAGAAAAAGTTACCGCGCGCCCCGCCCCGGACAGGGCCCGCACGGCTGCGCCCGTCCCACAAGCCAGACTCACCGGGTTCGCGGGGAAGGCTGCACAGCCCGTGGCCCAGGCCTGAACGGCGGCGGCCCGGCGCTCGCGGCCCGAGCCGAGGAGGCAGGGGTGGGCCCAGAGGGCCAGGCCCGGCTCCGGTTCCCGCTGGCGACCTATGGTCCGGCCCCGGCCGGAGGAGGAGCAACACGAGAAAAGGAGGACCGACGAGGGTGTACAGGATTTGGGCCGGTAGTAAAAGGAAGAAGACCAAAAAGTCGCCAAGAAGGCGGTGTAGAAAAATCCGGAAGATCGACGTGACCCGGATGGGAATAACCAGCAGAAGTGAGAGGTCACGCTTCCGGCGGCTGCCTCGCCCACTTTGGAGCGCCTGCTGCTGGAGTGCGCAGGCGCACAGCAGCCCTTGGCTGGACTCGGCGGGGAGGCGGAGCTGCGGACCTTTTCCTAAAGGTCCTTTCAGTATAGGTGGGGTGGCCCCTCCCCGAGAAATTTTTCCTCAACCGACTTCGCTCTTCTCCTGTGGATCAGTATTAAATTTCAGGTGTTTTTTTTTTCCTCTCGAATAACAGCTTCTCGGAGATGAAAATGCCTTCTATATCTCTCCAGCCCGGGCTCAGCGCCCTGCCTATCATAGCTAGGATTCCCTAACACAGCAAATCCTTACTGCTAATGCTTGAGTGGGTGTTTTCGTGTGTGAAAATGTCTGAGCTGTTTAGTTTATTGATATGAATCTGTTAACAACATACCTTTTTTTCTTGTCTTGCTTATGAAAATCTACCCCTCATTCCTAAAATTGGTGATTTGTGTCTTCCCTGGCAAGAGGCTTATCAAGCTTATCAAAGCCTACTTTTGCTTTTGTAGATTTACTCAGTTTTTCTGTTTTCTAGTTCGGTGATTTTTTGTTTGTTTGTTTATTATTTGTTTTCTTCTGCTTTTAGTTTTTAAGTGTTCTAGTTTCTTAACTCGGAAGCAGATCATTGGTGGAAGAGTCTCTTTTGTAATATAAACATTTGGTGCAACAAGTGTCCCCCATATACTGCTTTAGCTGCATGCCACATATTTTGATATGTTGTGTTTTCATTTTCATTCATCACAAACTATTTTCAAATTACTCTATTGGGTTCTTCCTTGACCCATAGGTTCTTTGTAAGTGAATCATATTGTCTGAAATTCTCGAGCAATTTTCTGGATATCTTTCAGTTACTCATAATTTAATGCCATTGTGATCGGAGAACATGCTTTGTATAATTGGAATCATTTTAAATTTATTGATACTGGTTCTGTGGACCAGAGCATGGTGTGTCTTGGTAAATGTTCATGTGCATTTGAAATGAATGTATATTCTGCAGTTATTGGGTAGAGAGTTTTACAAATGCCAATCAAGTCAAGTTGGTTGATATTATTGCCTAAACTTCTATATCCTTCCTGTTTTTCTCGATGCTTATCCTGTTAATTATTCAGAAAGGAATATTGAAAACTTGACTATAATTGTGGATTTTTTTTTCCCCTAGCTCTATCACTTTTCACTAAATGTATTTGGAAGATCTCCTATTAGTTGCTGTTATGGTTTGTGTCTAGTTTTTCCCTCAAAGGCTCATGAGCTCATTGGTAGGGCTTTTTCAGAGGTGGCTGGATCTAGAATGTATGATACAGGGATTAAGGGTGTGTGATTACTAAATTAGTTCACTGACTAGCTTGCCATAGTTCCAGGTGTGAGTACTATCTGCCCTTGGGGGAATATAAAAGGATAGAAAGAAGTTGCTCTTGTTGCTTATGGCTGCTGCTGCTGCTGACCTTCTGCTCTATGATGTGCCTTTCCTATCCACCCTCCCTTGGAGCCAGCCAATTATGGACTGAAACCTCTACAAACTGTGAGCCAAAATAAACCTTTCCTCCTTTAATTTTGGGTGTCAGATATTTTGTCTCAGCAGTGAGAAAAGTAAAAAGACAGTTGCATAAACATTTATATCGTTGTGTTATGTAGATGAATTTGCCCTTTATAAAACTTGTCATTGTGAAAGACTCACTTTATAAATGGTCTTCCTTTTTCCTGGTAATGTTCTTTGCTCTGAAGTGTACTTTATCTGGTAGTAATACATCCACTCTGGCCTTCCATTGTATAGTATTAACATGTATATTTTTAAAGAAAAGCATAATTTCAATTTCATAAAGACCCTTAGAAAAAGGAAAAGAAGTCCCTCCGAAAATTGAAGAGAAAAAAAATATTGAAGAGAAAATATTTGCAGTTCATTCTATGACATTACCCTAATATTCAAACCCTAGCTATTAATAAGAAAACTTAAGACCAATATACCTCGTAACCATAGATGCAAACATTCCACAATATGTAAAAAAGATAATCCATCATGACCAAACAGGAATTTATCCCAGGAATGCAAGTTTGAATTAACATCGGAAAAAATCAACCAATGTGTTTCACCATATTAACTAAGACTAAAAAAAAGAAGAAAAAAAAGAAAAACTAAATGATCATCTCAATTGAAGCAGGGAAAGCATTGGATAAAATCCAGTATCTCCCAGCATTACAAGGAAACTTCCTTAATAATAGAGTATCTATAAAAAGCATTACACTCAGTATTGAAGAACTGAACATTGTAACTGAATAAGATCTGGAATAAGGCAAAGATTTCTGCTTTGACCACTTCTGTTCAACCTTGTACTGGGAGTTGTGTCCTGTGCAATAAGGCAAGAAAAATATGCAGCATTCGAACCTAAAAGGGAAAAATAAAACCAGCTTTATTTGTAGTTGACATATTGAAAATTCTAAAAATTCTGTTTTAAGAATCTACAAAAGGGCTGAGGATTTAGCTCAGTGGTGCTGTCGCCTGCCTCCCAAATGCAAGGTCCTGAGTTTGATCCCTGGTACCAAAAGCTATGAGCACTAATAGATGAACAAGGCTGCAGGTTATGAAATCAGTATGTGAAAATTTAATTGCATCAACATTATGCTAGCGATGAAAAATCAAACTTAAATTTAAAATGCCACTTAAAACAGCATAAAAATATTTGTGAACTTGGTTGAGTTAGGCAGAGATTCCTTGGATATGATACCAAAAACAGTATCAGTTTAAAGAAAACAGATAAATGGTACTTCACCAAAATTAAATACTTCCATTCCAAAGACTCTGTTAAGAAAATGAGAAGAATAGCTGATCATGGTGGTACATACCTGTAATCCCAGCACTCAGAGGCTGAGGCAGGAGGATCACTACAAATTTGAGACCAGCTTGGGCTACATAGCGAGTTCAAATCCAGCATGGAATACAGAGCCAGACCCTATCTCAAAAACAAACAACACAAAAAGAGAAGACAAACCAACAATTGAACAAGATATTTGCAAATCACTTATCAGATAAAAATCTGTATTTTAAGCTCTCATGCCTCATAATATGAAAATAACCCAGGGCTGGGAATGTAACTCAATGGCACAATGCCTGTCTTGCAAGCATGAGACCCTGAATCACAATTCCCAGTACAAAAAAAAAAAAATGAGCAAAAAATTTATTAGACAATTTACTAAAGAAGCCATATAAATAAATAGCAAACACATGAAAAGACACAGCATCATTAGTGATTAGGCAAATACAAGTTAAAAACACAATGAAACAGTACTACCTATTTAATGGTAAAATAAAAGATTAATCATACAAAGTATTAATGAGAACATTAAGTACTGAAACAGGCAAATAATCTTTAGTGAAAAAAGGCAGGTTAATGGTAGCCTGGTTGATGGCGGAGAGGGAGCAGAAAAGGGCAGGAAGGAGAGATTGTAAAGAAGTACAAGGATAATTTTGGGAGTGTTACTCATGTTCATTTCCTTGATTGTTGTAGTTTTATTTGTGTATTCATGTGGGAAAACATGTGCAACCTATTATGTCTCAATTACAAATCAGAAAACTTAAAAATAAGAAAGATATTGGTCCCTGTTGCCCTTTGAATAAATCTCTTAAACCATGCATGATTTTGTAATATACCTACACTGGTCATTTGGAAATATTGGCTTACTGAATTGTGAAGATCTCCTAAATGTTGACATATTCCTACATTATCAAAATAAATCACATTTATTTATATTATACCAATCTCATCAGAAGACTCTTTAAGTATGTGGAAGCTGTCAAGATCACAATGCTGATACAACTTTTACAAAATTTTTATTTTTACTTGAAAGCTCAGTTGTGTTAATGACAAAGGGTTTTGTTTTGGGTTTTTTGGTTTTGTTTTGGTGACAGTGCTGGGGATCAAACCCAGGGTCTTCTGCATGCTTTATCATGGAGCTATACTACCATCTCCATAGGGGTTTTCCTATAGATTATTGTCAAAGATATATATTCAAAGTCAAGATTTGATAAAATTCATATATCACTGCTTCATAAGAACATTACTAAGTAAAACTGGGATTTTTTTGTAGACTGCAAGTGAATGACAATGAAGAATATAAGGGCTATTAATTTGTGCCCATGGTCTTCAACCAGATGTGATTTTTGCCCGGGGGACATTTGGCAATATCTGGAGACAGTTTTGGTTATTATCACTTGGAGGGGAGAGTTGCTAATACCATCTAATGAACTGAGAAGCTAGCAATGTTGCTAAACATTCTGACAATGCACAGGACACACACACCCCTAAGTATTATCCAGCCCAATATTCCATTGTTTGAATATCCACATTTTGTTTAACCATTCCTCTGGTGATAATAGGGTTGTTTGCACTTTTACACTATTAAGAATAATGCTATGAACATTGATATACACATTATTGTTTAAACATATGTTTTAAATTTCTTGGGTATACATTTAGGAGTGGAATCACTGGGTCATATGGTAACTGTGCATTTACTTTTTTGAGGAAATACTACACTGTTTTCTGAAGTAACTGTACCATTTTACATTCCCATCAGCTACTCCACATCCTTGTCAACACTTGCTAGTGTCTATTTTCTTTATCATGGTTAACTCCGTTGGTGTGAAACAGTAGCACATCGTGTTCTGCAATGGTTCACTTTTGAACCATCAAAACCAAATGTTAATAAATGAAAACAATATATAAAACCTTAATATTATTATGAAAACAGTTTTGACCTCATGACCTCCAAAAATGTCTGTGCCTCACATTTTGAAAATGGTTAAAGTAGGGTATTGCAGAAATCTTGACAAGAATTGACAGTGAAGAAATTTATTGGGAGCTCATATGGTAAGCATCACACTAATCATTTTGTATAAATTGTTTCTCAAGATCTGATTCACAGCCCTCTAACAAGCTACTATCATGTCCAATTTACAGGTGGGACATAAGTCTCCGGCCAAGAAATGCTCAGTGT